AGAATTCCCCAGCCAGCATTCGCTGGCTGGGGAATTCTGGGAGTTGAAGTCCGGACATCTTCAAGTTGCCAAGGTTGAGAAACACTGTACTAGATCATAAATTTTAGTGCACCGAGTCACTTATTCATTTAAAGTTGGATCTTTTTGAATGATCCTGCTCTAATCTGCAATATAAAATGGAAATCTGGCTCACTTAATCAGACATGTGTGACTAAAGCGGTTTTTCCTTCATTGCTGGTACCAAACGCAATTCTGCTCAGATGAGTTTTTTTAAAAAAAAAGAAAACTTAGGATTCTGCATGAATGAAAAAAAAATATCTCTCCATTGATAGTTTCTCTACAAAGGCTGCTTTTCTTTTTCTCAAGTGTTCATTATGTAAATATTCTGGGAATTTCCTAATTCATTTGAATGTTGAAATACACAGTGAATTGCCAGATACAGTAGTTTAACAAAGTATTCCAGTTCCTAAAATTCTGTCAAGTGGATATACATACAAAGATGAGCTGATCTGAAAAAAAAAATGCTTCTAAATATTTTATCTAAAATATTTAAAGTTCACCTTTCTGCAACTGTGGCACTCAAGAAGAGCTTTCATAAAGCCATATAATATTGGAAATAAGATTTTTTTAAGTTATTAAATATACATAGGTTGGTTCTCTGTTCATCTATAATATAATTTTTGTGTTCTGTGAATTATGAAATATTGGAATAGCATGATGAGCATACCACGTTTTACTCCATGCAGTATCTTACAACAGTTATTTTTTAGATTACATTACACTTTTCACAGCTTCAAACAACCTATTTCAAAAATAATGTTCACTTATCTTACATTCATACTTCAAATAAAAGATAAACATTATATTCTATAATTCAGCATGTTGAGCTTTCTTCAAAGTGATGCATCTTTATACTTTCAAGGTCAATAATCAATTATTCCTGAGTAAAGTGTCTACAGCCTAAAGTAACATCCTCTGAACATTCTTTCGCACATTTTCAGAATCTTTTCATGTTAGCCAAAGGTGATAACTACTGTAGTTAGGCAGAATGCAATTAATCATAAATAATCATTACATTACTAGAAAGCTGTCGAGGATAAGGCAAATGGCTTTTCCAAGATTTGAACACATGGGAAAAGCTAGGACTGAGCCACAAAACACAAATCATTCATTTGAAGTCAAGAATTCTTTCATACAGAATCACCACCCTTTCCAAATCTTCTCAGCTAACCAGAATTCTAAGCACACAAGACCAAGAATTCATTAATTATAAAATCTATCTCAATTCAGCTGTTGACAAGTCATCTAAAACAATAAAATTTCCTCCCAGTCTCTCTAAGCTAGAGACTTCAAGTAAGAATTATGCCCACAGCCACATTTCAAAGTGTTGGTTGGTTCAAGGATGAACACTTAACTAAAACTGGCATTCTTTTTCAACTGACTTAAATAGTACATGAATACATATATTTAGTATATTTATTAGTAATATCTATAAGATTAATACTTTCTTCCTTCTCTAGTTCAAAAATAACAATGCAGAGGCTCCATTTAACACTGCAAACTTCCCTTCTGCATTCCACCTAACTGCTCCCATTGTTCTCTTAAGAGAACAAGGCTTGAAAGTATTAACTATGGCTTTTTTAGGTCCCTCTTTCAAATAATTCTCCAGCAATTCTCATTTTTGTGCCATAATCCTTAACATTGCTTCTCATACGTATCTTATAGATGGGGAAACTGTAAAGGAAAACAGTGATCTCTGCTCACCCATTCTTTTGATTCTCAAAGTCTCCAGAAGATAAATCTGGCAGGTGCATACATTTAATTTATTTAAGCAATTTATTAGCCAGCCCCTTGATGACATATTTATTTTCACTTTCTAGCATTAGAAAGTGAATTACTTCCAAAATAAATCACAGATATTAAGGGACATTCCATGGGTAGACAGATAGACACTGATGGATCAAACCACAAGAAATGACTTCAAGTTGCCATGGGTAAAGTCTCAAGTTGTTAGTAACTTATTTTCTCCAATATATATTTTTTTAAAGAAATTCCAACTTTAAAATAGCAGGAATGGTCTAGATTTGCTGATAATTCAATAATGGCAGCAAAGTGGGTTTTTTCCTGTAATCCTGAGGTAGGCAGGGATCATCTTAAATGAATTTTCTGTATAGAATGTTACCGATTGGCAAGTTCTCTATCACAGTGTTTTTCAACCACTGTGCCGCGGCACACTAGTGTGCCGTGACATAGTGTAAGGTGTGCCGTGGGAAAAACA